TGTAATTTATTGTTTGATTAATAAGAAATTATCTGTGTGGCTCCCGAGGACGTAGGCAGTTGCCGAACCTCGTTAAAACTTGGTGTACCTTTTTTTATATTCTGCGTTTCTGTTGCATTAGGGATTTCGGCGTTTAAATTCCCAACAGCATGTTCTTGAGGGTCAATTATAGAAATTAAGGGTAAGTTACGCTAAACCCCCATGAACTTTCTTTTGGGGATTTTAGTCACCCCCCCTTACTAGGGATCTCCACAACTAGGAAGTCAACCCACAATCTATAAGATGGAAGACAATCATAATCAAGAAGAAAGAACACCGAGATTTACGTGGTTCAGTCGACCAACTTCGACCTACATTCACGGGACAACAATACGAGAAATTTACTATGTATGAGGGAGAACTATAATAAGAACCATTCAACTCACGTCTCTCAATCTCTCAACCTCACATACATAATCAACTCTCATATTCTCTCCAAAACTCATTCCTTACAATTTTTTGGACGGACTCTCTCACAATATTGTAATCTTTTGCACGGATAAAACCATGAAACCCTCGCCTCTTGCACAATATTCTTTACGCCTTTTGCTAACCCTAGATTACAAGAATATTGGATCTCTCTCTCTCCCCTCTCCTCCTTGGTTTTTCCTCCAACAATAGAAGAATATATATAGAGAAACCAAAACTCTATCTCTAGCGTAATTTCCTAACTATAATAGCATTTAAACTCATAATCATGATGCGACCCAATCTCCTAATCATGATATATTTTTAACCCTATCTAATTCTCATGAAGGTATACAAAGAATCAAAGACACAATCCTAACACTTACAGCGTCTTACAGTAAAGCCCTATGAACCTCCAAAGTCACACTAGTTACCCCAAATGACTTTTGCAGAAAACACTTAATATCTTTTGGATAAATCACACTAAACCCCTAACAACTTTCAGAATGCCATTTTATGTTGTTTTCTGGTTCTAATATATAGGGGTTATCTACAAAATACAAAAACTTATCGGGGTTTTCCTACAAAATAGAAAAGTTATTGGGGGTTTAGCGTGATTTTAAAAGTTCATAGAGGTTTACTGCAAAATGCTGAAAGTTCATGGGGACCTTTGTGTACCCTTATAGAAAATAAGATTTTAAAATTGAGACTTCATTCTCCTCTCTTTTTCATTTCTACAAAACTAACTTAGATGTAAAAGCTAATGTTAATTACATGCACTCACCTAGTAACATATATGTATTACATCCAAAATATGATGGTTATCCGACTAGAAATCAACTACGAAGGGGATCATACAAACTTCACTGAGATCAAGTGTAGCTTACTGTATTTCCAACGGGGTGAAAAATATCAATGCCACACACTTCTCACCAGGATCCACATAATGAGCATCTCTGAAAATATAAAACAATTCTGGCTTCTGTTTAATAAAATCAAATTAATGTGATATGCCATCTTCACACGTAATGCAGTTGGATCCGATCCAATCGGCCAGATAGTTGAGAGAGTCGAATTTAATTTGAAGACAGTTTTGATAAGAAAGGTATCAGAAACTCAATCTTGCACGCAGGGCCCCAGCATCTTTTTCAGCCAGTCCATCCATCCATTATTAATTTGTCGGAAATTCAATGCAGTTCGAGATATTTGTTGACATTCATTGATGACTACTCTAGGAAGATTTAGGTCTATTTTTGAGGCATAAAGATAAAGTGTTTCTGACTTTCAAACAGTAGAAGTCTTTAATTGAGAAGCAGACTGTGAGATTAATTAAGAGGCTTAGAACTAATAATGACCTTGAGTTTTGTGGAGGAGAATTTAATGAGTTCTGCAAGAAAGAGGGAATCGTTAAACATCGTACAATCCCTCGCACACCACAACAGAATAGAGTGTCAGAACGTATGAACAGAACCCTTTTGGAGAAAGATCGTTCTATAATGTTCAATACAGGTTTAGGCAAGAAAAACTAGGTAGAAATGATGAATAGGACTTGTTACTTAGTGAATCGTCACTATTCACTGCTATTGCTTGTAAAGAGGAGGTTTCGTTCGGTAAGCTTGCGGATTATTCTAATCTTAGAATATTTGTTACCCTGCATATACACATGTTAGTCAAGGGAAACTTGAGCCTAAAGCAAAGAAGTGCATATTCCTAGATTATGCATCAGGCATTAAGAGTTTTAGGTTGTGGTGTCCTGATCCGAAGTTTCCTAAGTTTATAATCAGTCGTGATGTCACTTTTGACGAGTCTGCTATAGTCCATGAAAAATAGTCACCGGTTTCAGTTGATGATAAGGCGCGCACTACAAGATATAAGGTGGAGTTAGACTGCTTTCCCTACAGCTCGGAATCCCAATGGTTGAGTCATATATATTTCTTCATCAAGATCACCATGAAGAAATGCCGTCTTCACATCCAACTGATCTAACTCCAAACCATACTATGCCACCAAAGCTAGCAAAATCCGAATCGAAGAATGCTTCACCACCGGAGAGAAAACCTCATTATAGTCAATACCTTCCTCCTGTGCATAACCCTTCGTAACCAACCTAGCTTTGAACCTCAATGGAGTGCCATCAATGCACTCCTTCTTCGTGTATACCCACTTGCAACTAATTGCCTTCCGCCCTTTTGAAAGCTCAACAAGCTCTCATGTATCGTTCTTATGAAGAGATTCAATCTCCTCCTCACTACTAGAAACAAGACTTTTAGCGACGGACAAATCCGTCGCTAAAAGTCAAAAATCCGTCGCTAAAACTTTTAGCGACGGAAAAAATTAAATTTCATCGCTAAAATACCGTCAGTACATTGAGGGTAGCTAAAACAACTTTTAGCGACGGAAAATCCGTCGCTAAAAGTCAGCGACGGAAAATTAGCAACGAAAAATCCGTCGTTCTATTTTTTTAAAAAAGAAAAAAAAATTCCGTCGCTAAAAGTGACATTAGCGACGGAATTTCCTTCGCTAATGTCACTTTTAGCGGCGGAATTTTCGTCGCTAAAAAACAAAAACTTTAGCGACGGATATTCTGCCGCTATTATCATGTCCCGTGTATGTTTTCCGTCACTAAAAGGGTCTATAGCGACGGCTAATCCGCGGCTAAATATTTCCAATATTTTTTTAAAAATTATTTTAAAAATTGAAAAAACCTGTACAATAATATAATGAATTTAAAACCATATTCAATCAACAATATAATATTCATTCCCACACATAAATAACACATATATTTTAATAAAAATGTCCCAACATAATTAAAATTATTTATACAACACACACCATGATAAATATTGTTTATACAGCACACACTCATTGTTTTCAAAGGTAAAAAAAAATCAGTCCTCCTGATCGTCATCATCCTCATCATCAGCTCCACCTTGTCTAGAAGTCCAAGCCTGTAAATATAAATTAAACGTTAACAACATGGCATGACATGTAAGTATAGCAATAAGAGAGAGTATCATGACATATTATTATATATTATATGTTTCGAAGAGAGTATCATGGCATATTCTTATGTATTATAAGCATGCACATATTCTTATATACACGCATGCACGCGTATACGTATGCACGCATGCACCAAATCTACACCCCCTCCCTCCTCAACCACGACCAAAGCCACCACCCACCCATCCACCACACTCCACACCAACCACCCCCTCCCCCTACATCACCACCACCACCACCCAATCCCTACACCTCCCCCTCCCCCACCACGACCAAACCTGACACCAACCAATCAAATAACGCCCACCATAACACAACACAATAACATCACCACCACCACATCCACACCAAACACCAACCACACTCAACCCCCCACCCCCTCCCCCTCCATCACAGTTTAGGGGTGTACACAACATGGACTATCTTTCAATTCTCACCACATGGCCAAACTTAGGACAATTTGTGGCAATATGAATCATTGATCCTAATTGCTTTATTCACTAAAGAGCGGCATGCATCAATTATTACGATGTTGAATGATATCATTAATACAGTATTTAGTCCTTATCATTCCAAACAAATAAATTGTACCTGTAGAACTAAACTTATAGGTAAAACAACACCATCAGCAAATAATGATGCGTCAGAACCTTGAAGGTTATCAAATTAATAGGTCATATTACTTTCTTGTAATGTGTGATTAGTTGCTTCTCAAATAAAAGGAACAACTCAAGAAAATAACAATTTTCTATTAAACTTTTTGAGAAGACAATATACTACGGACTCAATCAATACATAATTCATTTCTTAGAAAAAACATCATTATTTTAATGTATTCTAGCTAAAATAACAGTGGGTTTGCATTCTCAATCAACCATTGTAAGTCATCATCATATTATAAAAATCAACATAACAGTATCTTACCAACTAAACTCGGTCAAAGAAAAACAGAAACCAAAAAGAAATATGAAGCTTAACATTTTCCCCATGACTTCTTGAATTTGGGCAACATCACTAGAAATTCCATGCATAACATCTCTTGTAGTAACTTCAGTGTCAAAGAATCCATAGTCTTAACATACTTTTCAAGTGCTATTGCTCATTCTTCATCTCTTCGGTCACCTGAATAAAATATTACTGATCAGATAAATGCATGTAATCCCACCTTAATAAAGCTTTCCAATAGAGCAAATAGTCCACAATAAAAAAATACTTGCATATTATGTTCCTCCTGTATGTGTGCTTACCTTCATAAGAGATATTGAAGCCTCATGTATATGAGCAAGAATAGGACCGTGCAACTATATAAATGTATAGTCTACATAAGATTGTTTGCTTTGATCAATCAAGCTTTGATCAATCAATACCTTCCGCGAGTAAGAACCATGGGGCATATACAGTCTCTGGTCAAAGACATTGTAAAACTCCGACTAACCACATGACTAAAATTTAACAATCGAGGATACAGATCGATCGGGCTTAGAGTTCCAGAAGTAATTATAACAGATTGGAACAGATCAAAAACAGCCTTCATGGCAAGAGAGACATCATGACAACTGAGCTGCATCACCCAATTAAGACCACAATGAATTTACAATATAAAGTTACTTTGCCCATAAATATTCACAAATATAAATGAATCAGCATCAAGGAGGATTAGCCTTTCAGAAGAAACCCTCAGCTCAACTCCAGCAGTACAATGTTTTGCCATGGCTATGGTTTCTTCAGACTGTGTTGCAAAAGGCGGAAGCATTCCTAGGAGCAAACTAATTTTAGTCAGCTTCCTGATCAGAAACCTATGTTATGTAGGATATTTCCATGAGACAGACCAGATACAATACATGTGTCCACTCGTGTCTGAAATTTACAAAACGCTAAGCTATTATTTACCAATCATTCTAGTAAAGTAATTCTTTCTTTTAAGGACAATGACTAAACATGCATTACTTTATATGTCAAAGTAGAGTATGTTTAGAAAAATATGCACATGCAATTGTGTATTTACATGGCTTTTGGACAATTAACGTATTTGACTATGACGCAGTGCTTTCGTCTACAGCAGTTATCTTGTGTATAAAACATGTAAAGAAACGTTAGAACACTAATAAATCAAATGTCTCATGCTGACAAATTGAATGCACCAAATTAATATCCATATGAGTCAACATGAGCATAATTGTTTTATCATCTCATGGTATAAGAAGCTATTGCTTTGAGAAGCTACTGCTTTAAGAAGCTACTGCTTTAATAAGCATGTAAAATTATGAGGAACCACTTAAAGTATATATATATAGTGCATATTCAATGTTCCTTAAACAAAATATTCTAGGTCAAAATCACCATGGTGGAATCTCAACTAGGCATCTAATTATCGGAGAAAATATAGCAAACTAATTTATTAAAAAAATCTTTTTAAAAAATGAGCAAGTAATCAACACAAAAGTGAACATTATGAAAAAAAGAATGGATTTTGAAAATCAAATAGATCAATATACCAGGAGAGCTTCCATCAAATCCATAAAGCTCATTCAAAATAGTCGACTTGCCCACTCCGGTTGGCCCAATAATCCCAACAACATTGAATTCAGTGTTGTCTGTCAAAAACTGCAACCAAAGAATCCAAAAATCATAAAACCCCCAAAATTTCCCCCTTCAGTCAATTTCTAGGGTTTAAAAAGCCAATTTCTAGGTTTTAACAAGATAGAACAGCTCACCGGTAGGATTCTCTCAGTGTGGTACTCCCAAGTATCCGAGAAGAGATTGAGGAATCCTGGTTGAGGAGCGTTGCGAGACGACCAAAGTAAGACGCCGCCGGGGACGGAGGAGGGCGGAGGAGCTCCGGCGGAGGAAGAGTCCTGGGCGGCCGCGGGGCCCGGCGAGGGTTTTGCAAGGAGGATCTTCGGAGGCGGCGGAGGCGGGGGAAGACCTGAAGATGACGATGGGTTCGCCGACGAGGAAGAGGAGGAGGAGGACGATGATGGCGGAGCTCCCGCCATTCCTCCTGCTGCTGCTTCTCTCGCGGTACTCGGTCGAAGGAGATGACAACGAAGAGGGTGTGGGGTGGAGGGGGTTAGGGATTTGAGAGGGTGATGAAATTTTTGGGATGAATTTTTTGGCGGTGGGACGAAATTTTCGGGGATGATTTTTTGACGGTGGGATGAATTTTTTGGGGAGAACGGAGAGAAAAACGCCCGCGCCCAAAAAAATTCCCACTTTTGGGTTTTAGCGACGGAAATTTTCGTCGCTAAAATCCTTTTTAACGATGGAAACTTTCGCCGACATTATCCTGTCGCGGAAATTGCCATCGGGAAATTCAATGCGAGGAAATTTTCTTTTTTTTATGTCTTTTTTGTTTTTTTTCCCTTTCTTCTGTGCCCAGCTTTTGACTCGTCAATATTGAAATTTCCGACGGCAAAACTCGTTTGTCGACGGAAAATTAGCGACGGTAAATTCCGTCGCTATAACATGACTTATAGCGACGAAATTTTCCGTCGCTAAAGCCCCGTCGGCGATAGTTCATTTTCTAGCAGTGCCTGCATAGCCACCTGTCACGAATCAGCCTCCGAACTCTGCTCGGCCTCTCTGAATGTAGAAGGCACCAACTCATCGATACTCTCCATCAGAAGTGCATACGCAACTGTGTCGGCATACCGTGCTGGCATCTGTACGTTTCTCCTCTGTCTCCGAACCACAATAGAATCGTGAACCTGAGCCGTCGGTTCCTGATCCTACACATCAGTACCCGTATCCTCCGTATCACCATCGTGCTCACCTGACGTCACCTCAGTCGGCGCTCTAATGGATATTGTACCATCTGGACAATGTGGAGCTGCATCGATCTCCACCACCTATGATATCTCTTCCGTCGGGTCGCTCTTCACCTGATGAGATCTGGGAAGCTTCAAGATAGAAGCCTCATCGAATGTGACGTCCCTACTCAGCATAATATTCTTATCAACTAGATCCCAAAGCTTGTATCCCTTGACACCACACTTGAATCCTACAAATATGGCCTTCCTAGCTCGAGGTTCCAATTTATCTGTTCTCACATGATAAAATACAGGGCACCCGAATACCTTGAGCTGGTCATAGTCGTGTGCTGGCTCTCCCGACCACTTCTCCATTAAGGTCTTCCCCTCAATCGCAGATGAAGGCAGCCTATTAATGAGGTGGCTCGCATATGTAAGTGCCTCAGCCCAAAAGATCTTCTCCAAACCACTCTGCGATAATAAGCATCGGATCTTCTTCAGTAAAGACCGATTCAACCTCTCTGCCATCCTATTTTGCTGCGGTGTATGACTAACTGTGAAGTGTCTCTCTATGCCCTCGTCTCGACATAGCTGCTGAAAGGGGTCATAAGTATACTCACCACCGTTGTCGGATCACAACGTCTTGATCTTTCTCCTAGTCTGCAGTTCCAATCTCTTCTTCCACTCCACAAACAAATCTAGGAATTCACTCTTCTTTGTCATGGTGTACACCCAACAACGCCTAGAATAGTCATCTATAAAAGTGACGAACCAATGTCGACCACCAAGTGATGCAGTCTTGGTAGGACCCCAAACGTCTGTGTGCACGTAGTCCAGGATGCTCCTTGTCTGATGAATGGCAGTTCTGAACTTCACCTTCGTCTTCTTGCCAAAAACATAGTGCTCACAGAACTCAATATTTCCACTCTTGGCTCCCATCAATAGCCCCTGCTTGCACAATACTTACAGTGACTTTTTACCTGTGTGCCCTAACATATAGTGCCAAAGTCTGCTCATGTCCGCTTCTGAAATAGCCGAAGCAACCTGGCCAATATCGGTGCTTCCCTTCAGATAATACAAATTCCGATTGCGAACTCTCTTCATCACCACCAATGATCCCTTAGTGACCTTCGCTACAGCGTTTTCGAAAGTCACATTGAATCCCTTCGCCTCCAAAGCTCCAATTGAGATAAGATTTTTCTTCAGTTGAGGAACAAATCTCACCTCCTTCAACTCACGGACTACTCCATCATGCTCTTCAGTTGAGGAACAAATCTCACCTCCTTCAACTCACGGACTACTCCATCATGCATCCTAATCCGCATGGTACCTATCCCACAAACGTCTCACCTCCTTCAACTCACGGACTACTCCATCATGCATCCTAATCCGCATGGTACCTATCCCACAAACGTCACAGGATTGATCATTTCCCATGATAACAACACCCTCGTTGACTTTCTCAAAAGATGCAAACCAGTCTCGCCTAGGGGTCACATGATAAGTAGCACTGGAATCAAGCATCCAATCTGATGCATCCACATGGTTCACCTCCGGAGTAATCAGTAGAGAAAAGCACGAATCATCGGAATCATCGCCTTTCGCAACGTTCACCTCATTGGCCTTCGGGCCATTTTTCTTGCCATTCTCCTTTTCCTTGAGCTTCGGGCAGTCTCTCTTCCAATGTCCCTGCTCCTTACAGAATGCGTATTGGTTCTTTGTTAATTGGTGATGGCTTCTTGACTTTGACCTTCCTCTATTACCACCTTTCGGATATGAGCTTCTACCTCTCGTCGACAAGGCCTCGCCTGAAGCGCTAGCACGGGAAGTCTCCTTGTCCTTCCTCCTCAAATCGTAATTGGTCAATGCGTTAGTCACTTCACTATAGCTGATAGAAGATCTCCTGTTCAATAAAGTAAACACGAAGATATCATACTCCTCATCCGGTAAGGAGCCCAACAAAATAATCACCTTGTACTCATCCGAAATCTTCTCATCAACATTCGCCAAGTCCGACAACAACTTAGTATAGTTGTTCACATGAGCCGCTAGCGAGGTGCCTCTGGACATCTGAAATCTGAAGAGTCTTCGCAGCAAGTGCAACCTGTTCTCAACACTCTTTGTGAGATACTTATTGTTGAGAATTTCCCACATCTTCATTGCAGACATCATCCCAATCACATCATATTTTAGTTCCTGTTCCAAACAGGACCTGATCACCCCACAAGCGTTCCTATTCATCTTCTCCCATACCGCCTCATCATATTTAGGTGGCTTCTCGTGGACCATGATGGTCTCTTCCAAATTCTGAGCATTGAGCGCATCCTGTACGTCGCTCATCCACAAACCAAAGTTGATTTTGCCGTCATACTTCACCACACTAATCTTAGTGTTCTGAAAACCAACTTGTATTGTACTCGCCATTGATTTGCTGCTTTTACTTTCTTCTCCCATTGCAAAATAACTCCAAATTATAGAGAAAGAATAAATTTGATAAAAATTAGGAACCACCCAACTGAACCCTAGATCGGATTCCAAATAGATCTCCTATCCACACGAGGAAAGCGAAATCTCCAACGGCAACTCCTAATGTTATCTCGACCGAAGCCTAGAACTCCAAGAACCAAACTTCACACAAGAAACTTCCTCCACCAAACTCCAAAACCCTAGATCTGAAATCTGGGCTCTGATACCACTTGTTGCGCGCAGCGGAAATTTCGGCAGCACTTCGGCAGAGTCAGGTCGTAATAAGAATTCCCGTCTCACCAAGAAAACAAGAATCTGAAGCGAATATCTCAACAAAGTGAGATATCAGCTCTTACTCTCATCAGTTCTAGGACTGACCTGTCGAGGGATCCTAAAAGCTATTACAAATCACACAAAAACGATACAACCAATTGTTACGTGGTTCGGCAAATTGCCTACGTCCACGGGGCAAGGAGAGGAGAGATCTACTATTAGAGGGAGAGATTACAACTAGGGTTTACAATTACTCACAACCTAAACCCTCAAACAAACTCTCAGATCCCTCACAATATCTCTCTATAAAAGGATGCACAAAACCCTAAAAAAACTCTGCTTTTTCTCTTGAGTTTTTCTCCTGCTGCAATTTTCTCCTGTAGCCACACAATTGCACCCAGCCCTCTGCACGCGCACTGTAGCCGCCAACAAATTAAACAAATCCATGCTCGCCTTAAACCTAAGAAAAAAAAATCAAGTGCTATATATAAAGCGTTCGTGGCCCTTCGTGGGCTTCATGCTGGAACATCAAAAAAAAAAAATGTCCAGCTCTTCATGCGGAAGTCACGCTCACGCGTGGTCACGTGGTGGCCCCCCACGTCGTTCACAATATTGTATAGAAGTCGCAGAAATATAATCAATCCACTGCAGCTAACACCAATTGTGAACAGAGAACAAGGTTCTCTTATTTTGAAGCCTATTTGTTATCTTTTAGACTCTCTTTTATTCGTTTATTTTACAGAAATTATATTAGGCTTTCTGGGTGTTATTTGGAATCGAGTGATTGAGAGATTCCATTTTGTATTCCTCATAATTTAGTAAAATTGTTCTTCTCCTTCACTCATAGACGTAGGCTACAAGTCGAACCACGTATATCTTTACATCAGTGTGTTCTTTGATATTTTTCGTTATTTCATGTGATTGATATTAGCTTATCCAGGGGAGTTTGTCATGACATCTATTTTGTAGTGAAAACTTTAAAGTTAATTTCAAGGTACATAGAAAAGTCTGAGAACAAAAAATGTACACATTATATAATTTTGGTGAAACAATATTCAATTATAGAATCATACAATTAGATCGCAACAGGGATGACTTGAGAAATTTTTTAAGAGAAAATGTAAACTATTCTTAATTATCATAAAACGAATAGCATCACACGTTATTTAATTTAGAAAGATTGAGACGTAAACTTTCATGTCATATATTCTCCATCAATTCTTGATCATTCTTTCCTTTTGAGGGCTAACGTGAAATTCACATATTTGGTCTTCTGCTTCTTGAGGTGTTGTGCAACGTTCATAGCATATTTTGAGAACAAAGCATCCATTATTTCACCACCAAAATGATTTGTAAGCATGGGCTCCACCACGGCTCTAATGGTTTTTGCTACATTTTTTCCACTAAGAAAATTATCGGCAACAAAATCATCCATGCGGTCATCAAAAGGATCCCAATTCAACTCAAAAGCTTGCGCCTGATAAAATTCAAATGATCCTTCATTTTGAACCACTTTCTTTACTTCCTCCATAGCTGGTGCATAGAATGGCAGATCAAATGTATCTACTTTTTCCTTCTCTACAACTCCCTGAAATCGAATTGATCAAAATAAAATGACTACTATTATCATAAGATACAAAAATATTATATTGTAGGGTAAATTATACTCAGCCCCAAAAAAGTTTCTACATTTTGCAACCCCCAATAACTTCTAAACTCAAACTAAATCCCCAATAACTATTGGAATTGTAGAAAGCTCCCAATAAGTTTTTGTATTTTGCAGTTAATCCCCAAGACGGTGCCAAATCACATTTAGGATTTAAATGTGTTGCAAACGCAAAATGTGGACTAATGCTATCATCGGGATTATCTGCAAATGCAAAAAAAAAACTATTGGGGGGTTTTCTGCAATTCCAATAGCAACTAGGGCTTAGTGTGATTTTAGAAGTTATTGAGGGTTTATTGCGCAATGCTAAAATTCCTTGGGGCTTTAGTGTAATATACCCTATATTATTGTAAATACATGTGAAAAATGAAAACTTACATCGGATACGAAGGAATTCAAAGCTTTTGCTAATAATCCCCAAAGGTAACTCATTTCTCCCCTCAGTGGAGATAGATTACTCCTACCTAAAAATGTAATGACTATTTGCCCCCCACAAACAATCTCCTTCGAACGCAATTTCAGAAATGTAGAAAAATCTCGTTCAAATTGCTCAACATATGATTTAATCACTATAGACGGGCTTGTATCGTCTATATAAATATTTCCTTTGTTTATAGGAGCTCCAAAATCATCTTCAAGCCCTCGAGGTACCTACAGCACATTAGGGTATAATTTGTTACCGTGAATGCTAATGATTAGTTCTTAATTCATTTTTTTATAACCCAAGCTTGAAATTGAACTAAGACCGTGTGAGCCATATTGAAACATTCCCGCGGTGGGTAATTATTAATTCTTTATTATTTAAAAATTACAAAATGAAAACTAACAATACCTGAGATAGGAAATGCAGGCTATAGGAGGAGTGCATAAAATGAAGACTGTCCTTTGGAAATAGCCTTCCATAAAAGGATCCCGGAGCCCCAACAACATAATATGATGCATATTTTCTCCCTTTTTCTTCGACCTTCTTTTTATACTTCGTCAGCGATCTAAAGACAGTGTTGAAATCGTTACCAGGGAGATCGTTCAGGAAGAACATAAGCTCTGGCGGTTGATAGCTTAATTTGTTGCAAACTTTGTAAATTGCGTCCATAATCTCCGAGATAGCCATGAAAGTAGTAGGTCCAGATGAGCACCCGAGGTCGGCGATGGCCAAGCTTTCAGTGTGTCGGAGTGTGTAATATACTTCACATATGGTTTCTTGAACTACAGATTTTGCTTTGTGTATTGCTTTTGCCTGGAAATAAGGAAGTTAAGTTAAATATTGCATGAAAGCTTTGAAAGATATACATACATAGGATTTTTAAGATTGCAAATGATTTGATGTGTAGTGACCTGAAGGTCATGAGTTCAAGTCTCGGAAACAGCCTCTCCATATTAATTTGGAAGGCAAGACTGCATACAGCTGAACTTTCTAGACCCCACAATGATTGGAACCTCATACATAAAGCCGCTCTTTTCCTAGATAATTAGTACTTACTTATTACTCTAAACTATTTTATTAGCATGTAGCATGTGCACATTTCGGCTGAGTACTACTAGATTTTTTTTTTTTGTCTTTTGGAGGTCTATTTGAGAGAGAGAGAGAGAGAGAGAGAGAGAGAGAGAGAGAGAGAGAGAGAGAGAGAGAGGAGAGAGAGAGAGAGAGAGAGAGAGAGAGAGAGAGAGAGAGAGAGACCTGAAGTGTGGAGTTGGTGGCATAACTTGTTTCTCCTAGCCCTTCGATCATATGAAGGATCTGATCAACTTCAACCTTCATAATTATAGCTCAAATTAATTACTCTTCTTTTGTTCTCCTTCTTCTAATAATTTTGCTCAAGAGCACTAGATTTGCTTTGGCTTTCAACTCTAGACTTCATGTCTTTATATAGTACTGCACAGTGCCAATTCTCCTCCACTGCTTATGTGCACGTGAAACTCGATCACTACAAACCTGCGCAACATTGTGCACCACATTCCTCACAAGATAGATCATGGTATGACATCATCACGATACTATGAATGAATAGATCATGGTATGACATCATCACGATACTATGAATGAATAGATCATGGTATGACATCATCACGATACTATGAATGAATAGATCATGGTATGACATCATCACGATACTATGAATGAATAGATCATGGTATGACATCATCACGATACTATGAATGAATGCACGAAGATATTGAAAATTAGGAGGAAAATAATCTGTGTTATTGTATTAATGTGAGAATACGATACAAATATATAGACAAGACATGGCTCCTGGTTGTAATAGGCCTCCAAGACAAGACATGGGCGTGAGTGAGCCAATATTGAGCATGTACGCACATAGACAAAGATATAAACTACATTAACAGATATTAATTGAACTATTAACAGATATTAATTGAGGATAGTTCAGTGTCATTAACTCTAAAACAACTTGACATTCAAATACATATAGGATAATTTGGTTAAAACCTATCATTGATTTAATTAGAAATGTTACATTGAATTCAGAACCAATTATTCTTAATTAATTTAAATGTTGGGTTATATATATATTTTTAAATAAAAAAGAAATATTTATAGGAAATTGTACTTCTCTCTCTTGATGAAGATCAGCACTATGGCATCTCTAACCATAAACTGTAGGTTTCTTTAATTCGTTCTTGGGAAAAATGCTTCCAGCCCCCAAAAGCCAAGGAAACGTGCTTCCCACCCCCAAGACTTTGTCAATGGGTGTTTTACCCCCTTCCAGCCCCCAAAAGCCAAGGAAACGTGCTTCCCACCCCCAAGACTTTGTCAATGGGTGTTTTACCCCCAAAAATAAAGATTCTGTTCTCTGAGCCCCCAAAACACAAAATCCAAGAGATTAAAATATGTGAAGACCATAATACCCTTCCCTCTCTTTTTTTATTAAAATATAATAAGGATTATTTTATTATTTTCGTTTTTTCTCTCTCTTTATCATGATGTACTGAGATGATAGTTAAAATGATTAATGAGGATTATTTTATTATTTTTATTTTTTATTATTTTTGTTGTTTGTATTAGAAGATTGTTAAAGTTACGGGTTAATTAATTGTTAAGGTTACAAGTTAATTGTTAATGTTACGGGTCAATTGTTAAGGTTATGAATCCTCTCTCTCTCTCTCTCTCTCTCTCTCTCTCTATCATGATGTTACTTTGATGATATTGAAATGATTGAAGAGGATTATTATTTTATTATTTTTGTTTTTTATTCTTTTCGTATTTTTAGAATATTTGTTATTAAGGATAATAGTTGGTTGTTAAGGATAATGGTTGGTTGTAAAGATTATGCATTGTTTGTTAAGGTTACGGGTTGGTTGTTAAGGTTACGGGTTTGTTGTTAAGGTTATGGGTTTGTTGTGTAGGTTGCGGATTTGTTGTTAAAGTTACGGGTTTAATTGTTAAGGTTACGGGTTTAATTGTTAAGGTTACGTGTTTAATTGTTAAGGTTACGGGTTTAATTGTTACAGTTACGGTTTAATTGTTAAGGTTACGATTTAATTGTTAAGGTTACGTGTTTAATTGTTAAGGTTACAGGTTTAATTGTTACGGTTACGGGTTTAATTGTTACGGTTACGATTTTAATTGTTAAGGTTACGGGTTTAATTGTTAAGGTTACTGTTTAATTGTTAAGGTTACGGTTTAATTGTTAAGGTTATGGGTTTAATTGTTAAGGTTACGGGTTTAATTGTTAAGGTTACGGGTTTAATTGTTAAGGTTACAGTTTAATTATTAAGGTTACGAGTTTAATTATTAAGGTTACGAGAGAGAGAGAGAATGGATCCATAACCTTAACAATTGACCTGTAACCTTAACAATTAAACCCGTAACCTTAACAATTAAACCCATAACCTTAACAATTAAACCCGTAACCTTAACAATTGATCCGTAACCTTAACAATTGATCCGTAACCTTAACAATTAAACTAGTAACCTTAACAATTGACCCGTAACCTTAATAATTAAATTTGTAACCTTAACAATTGACCCGTAACCTTAACAATTAAATCGTAACCTTAGCAATTAAACCTGTAACCTTAACAATTAAACTATAACCTTAACAATTAAACCCGTAACCTTAACAATTAAACCTGTAACCTTAACAATTAAACTCGTAACCTTAACAATTAAACCATAAATTTAACAATTAAACACGTAACCTTAACAATTAAACTCGTAATTGTAACAATTAAACTCGTAACCGTAATAATTAAACCCGTAACCTTAACAATTAAACCCATAACGTTAACAATTAAACCGTAACCTTAATAATTAAACCGTAACCGTAACAATTAAACCCGTAACCTTAACAATTAAACATGTAACCTTAACAATTAAACCCGTAACCTTAATAATTAAACCAGTAACATTAACAACAAATGCGTAACCTACACAACAAACCCATAACCTTAACAACAAACCCGTAACCTTAACAACCAACCCGTAACCTTAACAATCAATGTATAACCTTTACAACCAACCATTATCCTTAACAACGAATATTCTAAAAATACGAAAAGAATAAAAAAATAATAAAATAATAATCCTCTTCAATCATTTCAATATCATCAAAGTAACATCATGATAGAGAGAGAGAGAAAGAGGAATCAAAACCTTAACAATTCACCCGTAACATTAACAATTAACTCGTAACCTTAACAATTAACCCGTAACTTTAACAATCTCCCAATACAAACAACGAAAATAATAAAAAATAAAAATAATAAAATAATCCTCATCAATCATTTCAACTATCATCTTAGTACAACATGATAAAGAGAGAGAGAAAACGAAAATAATAAAATAATCATCTTCATATTTTAATAAAAAAGAAAGAGAGAGAGAGAATGGTATTATGGTCTTCACATATTTTAATCTCTTGGGTTTTGTGTTTTGGGGGCTCAGAGAACAGAATCTTTATTTTTAGGGGTAAAACACCCATTAACAAAGTCTTGGGGGGTGGGAAGCATGTTTCCTTGGCTTTTGGGGGCTGGAAGCATTTTTCCCTTTGTTATTTTAGACAACAGTACCATAGAAATAGGAATCAGATAGTGATGGGGCATCTTCACATGTAATATTGCGTGCAATATGAGTGAATCTCATCTGGTAAGCAATGCAGCCACCTCAGAGCACGTATGAATAAGCCAAATTAAGATGAGAAATATCTTGGAATTTCATGGGGCAGCATTTTGTGGACTAAATGATGCATGAAGTACGAGCAAACAACTGCCGCAGAACATTCTCCGGTGCGGGTCAAAGTCACACGAAGTCATTGGCATATATATTGTACGCGTGTTCTCGTTTAAGCTATAAGCATGAAACACCTGCCGACCAACATTTAATTATCAAGTTAAAAGTTTTAGGTAATACATATTTGACGAAAATAATATACGGGTAAGGTTATATTATATTTATAGGTAAGGGTATTTCAAAGGCTTCGCCATTATACCAAACGCCAAAGTTGTGAGGAGGGTTA